GCCGCCGTCGTAGTATTCCGCAAAGCGAGGGGAACCCGCCGCGTTTGTTTCTGTTGTCGGTCTGCCGCTGTATGTGTGTGTGTGTGTGTGTGTGTGTGTGTGTGTGAGCGAGAGTAAAGTGTGCGCACGTAAATGCAGCGCACGCATCCGCAAGTTGCCGTGTACGTGCGGGCTGCCCCGCAGCTGGCGCCCGCCCGGGTAGGCTAGGCGGGCCCGCTCGGGAGCCGCGCGCTGCGCGCTGCCTACCCGGCACGGCGCTCTGGCGGGCCGGGCCGGGCCGCGGAGGAGAGGAGCGGTATTATATGTGAATCCCGTCACGTCGTCACATCACACCGCATGCATGTACACCCGCCCGCCCCGCTGGTGCTGGCGGTGGTGGTCGCGCCGCGGGGTACACGCTGCTGTGTGCAGCACGTGGGTGACACGTGCGGTGACACCTTGCGGTGTGACGAGGGGTGCGCGCGAGGGGCGGCGCGGCGGGGAGGCACCACATTCACCTTCTTGCCTTCACGTGGTCGTGGTTTTATATTACGCGACGTGGGCAGTGGGCACGTGCGCCCTACATATAAAGAACGGGCGACATATTCCATATAACACGCAAGACAAATATCACACACATATCCTAAAAAAAGGGAAAGGGGCATGAGTGACAACTCGGAAAGGTGTGTGACAGAGGGTCCAGCACGGTCGCGGCAGACATTTATTTTGCAAGTGACATGATGATGTCGCACTTTTTTATTTGTTGCAATTCTTGTAGAGTTTTGATACGTGGGTCGTTTATATTGACCCTTTTCTTGAATATCAGCTCGGTGTCCAGTCAAACACGGTACAGTAGTACTTTGCTGTGAGTTTACTCGCTCCCACCCCCACCCCCCTCCGTTGACTCCGAGGTGTGGGACCCTGGGACACTTCCGTGCACACGGCTTAAAAGAGGAAAGATGGTGTGGGAGAGCGCGGCGCGCCCTCCCGCGGGGTCGGTCCGAGGGAGAGAGCCGCGCGAAGCAGCAGCGGCAGTGTATAAGTTGGAGAGCAGCAGGGCGAGAAGGTACGAGACGGGGGGTGGGCGGGGGTGGATGTCTTCCAATTGCGGATATTGGACCGTGTGCACGCGGAAGTGCTGCTGTTCCCCTCTGCTCTCCTGTCTCTCCTTTCTTTGTCTCTCTCCGTTTCACTTCCTCCTCCTCTTTGTCTCTCCGTTTCACTCGTCCCCCTGCGCCGCGCTGTCTTGCTGTTCTGGTGCTTCTCCTCTTCTAGTGCGACTTGTCCGCGGGCAATAATGTGGCTCTCTCTCTGTGTGCGATATGAACATGAGGAGCAGGACAAATATAAATAACTTAAGTATAGTCTCTGACTTTCCGTCTGCTGATTCCGCGTCGGGCTGACGCGGCTCACCGACAGTGGCGGGGAAGCGGAGAGTGCTGGAGGCGGGAGAGAGAGATCGAGAAAGAGAGAGAGACAGAGACAGGGAAAGGGGGTGGGGGGTGGGCTAGGCCTTTCGCCGCGGACTAATAAAGCCACTCAAGTGCACTCCGCTCGTACTAACCTGGTTGTTTCCCTTGCTTTGCAGGTAAGTGGCTGCTGTCGTAAGAGCGAGAGAGAGAGGAGGGGGCAAGAGGAGAGCCTAGCCGTAAGAGCTTCTGCTGCTGAAGGTGAGTGATGTGGGGAAGCGAGACAGAGAGATAGGAGTGGGGGCGCCGAGGAGGGTATATAAAAGAGAAGGCTATGATGTGTGAGAGCCGCGCCGAGTGGCGCGCCGAGCTGCCGGGCCCGTTATCTGCCGGGTAGCCGCCGCTCCCTCGGCCGCCCCGTGCCCCGTCGGCCACCCCCTCGGCCGCCCCCTCGGCTGCCCCCCCTGTCTGTAGCTCTGCTACGCTCCCCGCGGGTTCATTTCGGAACAAGCTTCTCTCGCCGCCGCCGCACCGCCGTGTTTGGCGCAGGAAGTTCAAACTCGCGGCTGCGTTGTATGGGATTGGCTTTCCTCTCTGGGGCACGGCGGCGGCGGCGGCGCGGCGCTGAGGTAGTTGTTTCCGCGGTTGCACTCTCGACGGGATCACGTGCAACAATTCGGTATTCATTATCCCCCCCCCCCAAACCTCTTCCCAACTATCCCCATCCCCCTTCCCTTGCCTTTGCACCGCCCCCCAATAACTCCATCCGACGTGGGAGAGGAGCCTTCCTGCTGAAATCCCCTCTCAAACACGGTTAACGCGCATCAAGGTGGGTGTGTTACACCTTTGTACCATGCTGGAGAAACTGGCACCGTGTTGCGTTCCGCTTGGCTGGAGCTTGTGCTCGAGCTTGTGCTGGTGTGCTGGAGCTTGTGCTGCGAATAATTTTCCAGCTACCCCGTAGGAACCCTGCATGAACCAGCAAAAATCATTTTGCTGAAGCTTCTTCGGTCTAGAGCCTATGGGGTGGGTACAATGGTGTGAGATGTAACGCCGTTTTCTGCCAATCAGCCCCTCGCAGCTCGTCTCCCCGTAGCTCCTCGGCCGGAGCCGCTGGAGCAGTCTGGAATGCTCATTAAAGCTCCGTGATATCGTCGGAATGCGCGTTGGTTTACATTCCGCGCCACCGCTTCTCCCCTCCTCCCTTCCTCCCTTCCCTCCCTCCTTCCTACCCCGCCCACCGCGTCTCACCGGTCGGTTCCGCGTTCCGTACCGCCGGGGCGGGACCACCGCAGATCTGCCAGCCGCAGATGTTCCGCCCCTCCACTTCTCCAAGGACCCCCCCCCCTCCCCCTCTCACGTGGCTCCTCGACGTCGTCCTTGTCCTCTGATCCCCGCCGTACCCTTTAACGCCGTCCTCTCGCCCCGACACCCTCCCCTTCTCTCCGCTTTGCCCGAACCCCTCCAGCCGCCCTGGAGCGGAGCTGAAGCACCCACCGTTTGCGGTAACCACCCGGTGTTATTCCTCACCCCTTCCCCCCTCTCCCGGAGATCACCCTCGCCAAGCATATCCCGCCTGCCTCAACACCTGTTAATCTGTATATTGCGTGGTCTGGACCCTTCCCTTTCTGCCCCCTCCCTGTCAGTTTGAGAAACGCTTTTGTTCGCCAGTGTGTGTGTTTAGAGGGGGGGGGGGGGCGTCCGTTTTGTTGTCTTCTCATCTTGCTTGAAAGGGCGTCCTTTTGATCTGTTTTCCGCCGCCAGCTGCTCCCATTGTGTGACTTACAGTTAGTCGTTTTGTAGATTATTTTGATACGGTTTTGTTTTTTTGTCGACATGCTTATCACATCAATATTCTTCAGAGATAATTTAGACAATAGGCCTACATATTTTTTACGTGTTCATTTACCAAAACAGTTGAAAGTTGACATAAACCCTGTTTACTCTTTATATCTACGACTGCAAGGTAGCTGACTGAGGGAACTTTTTGAGTTAAAGTATCCCAGAGAGAGAGAGAGAGAGAGAGAGAGAGAGAGAGAGAGAGCTTGATCGTTTTGCCCAGCAACAATAATCCGCTTTGATCCTCAGCAGTGCTGTGAACGATTCCGCCCCAGGACTATATACACCCCTGTGCGGGGCGGCGCGGCGGGGTGCGTTTGCGGGAGTGGTGGGCCCTGCTGCTAATCACCCAGGCCTGACCGTTAGCTCGGCAAACTGTGCAGCCCCCTCCCCTCCCCTCTGTTTGACGAGCCGGGACTGGGCCAGGCTCGGGGCCACGGGGGTGAGAGGTGGAGGAGTGGAGGGCCTGCCTGCTGGCCTGCCTGCTGGCCTGGACTTGGGACAGCTGTTCGAGTGACTCTCCCTCTGTCCCTTCCTCCCTCTGTCCGTTGGCCTTCTCTTTTACCATTTCTCCACCTCTCTCCTTCTCTCCCATTTTTTTTTCCATCTTGCTTACTCTACCGTTTCTGTTTGCCTGTTTCCTCTTCCGCTTTTTTGAGGTAGTGCTTCGGATTGCGCGCCGGTGCGGGCGGGTTTGTCTACCTACCGGGACCAAAGTGAGTAGGCAAACCCACCGAGCGAGCGCGTGCACCGAAACACCGGTACACTAGGCGGTTCGGCTGCATACATTTCGCCTCACCCCCCACCCCCTGTGGATCGGCTTGGCGGCCGTGTCCGCTATCGCTTTGTGGCGCAGTTCAAATTGACTCTAGCGAGTGTGTGTGTGTGTGTGTGTGTGTGTGTGAGAGAGAGAGAGAGAGAGAGGGGGGGCTTTTTGGAAGGGGAGACCCGCCTCTCCTATGACTCCCTCCTTCTCCTCTCCTCTCCCCCTCGCTCTGCGCGGCACATATGCTCATGTTGGCGGCAATTACTTTATGGGGCCCCGGAATATTTTGATGACAGGCTGACGCTATCAGCGCCCCGCCCGTTATCGGTCCTCGCGGGGGGGAAGGGGCTAATGTTTGTCGGGGCGGGTCCGGTCTGGGCCGACCGAGCGGCGTGGCACTGGAAAAGGGTGTGCGCTGCGCACAGCAATTTCAAACACTGTATGGCGTCGCCTTTAAATGACTCTTGCGACTCGTGTTGCAGATTGATTAATATACTGTACCGAACCGTGTCGCGTTCGTTTTAAACGGGCTACGCACGCTGGACGGACGCGTCATGTAGCCTGTAAGGAAGAGTGCAACGACGGTCAGTCATAACGTTCGATTTTCTAAGCAATGTGACACAATTTAATTAAGCGTAGTGAGGAACACAGTAGGGTAGAGGAGAAGAAGGTAAAGGAAGGCGAAGATGTGCAGGGAGCAGCAGCGTGGTGGTGCTGCTGCTGC